TGGGGACTCATGAAGAACTTTCATTTGACTTCCCTGGTGATGTCACTAAGAAGTCTTCCTGAGTTGCTGCCCTCCCACAGTGTGGGCAAATGTGGGCGTCAGGAAGCCCCACAGACATAGGGCTCCCCCCAGGTCACAGGCACAGCTGGCTTTGGACAACCAGCTGATGATCTGTAAACATTTCTTTGTTCATCAGCTTTCTCATGGGAGGGGATAAAGTGATGCTGTATCAGGAAAAACTATAATATGCCTCTCTAACTTCAAAATAGGACATTTATTATATAAATATATTACAAGAAATTTTCTAGGTCAGACAGCTTCTTCGAGGCATGCTAAATGATTTAAAACTTAGATAGTAAGATCACTTGGTCATTTCCAGTGATCAGCATTATGCACGCATTATAGTTTCGAAGAATCTCATCTGCCTGTAGCTCCAGCCTTTGCTTGTCTCTCCTCAGTGTTGATAGAAAGACCTGTGGCTGCATCAGGCAGCTTTCCTGCATGCGCTGCAAGACATGCTCAGCAGAGATGGGGCTGCCCCAGCTGGAGAAGGGGGACGGGAGGCAACTGACAGCCATGCTCCTCTTTGCCCCATGATGTTTTAGCTAATTTACCACTTTTTGTGGAATGCTCACCAGAGGATTGCTTGGCTCAGTCTTCTTTAATCTGACTGTGGTTACAGACTCAGACTAAAAGATCTAAACCCTTGGAGCAGGATTTCTCATTCTTGGCACTATTGACATTTGCAGCTGGATTATTCTTGGCCGTGTGCGGCTGCTCTATGCTTTGTAGGCTATTTCGCAGCATCTTTGTCCCCTGCTCACTGGGTGCCAATAGCACCCCCCCCTTCAGTTGTGACAGCCAAAAAATGTCTCTAGACATTGCCAGATGTCCCTTGGGGGGCAAAATTGTCCCAGTTGAGAATCCCTGCTTTAGAGAGAGGCTTTGTGGCTGCTGAAACCCCGAGAAGGCCCTTGTCTATAGGACTAGGTTTTGAGTAAGTAGTTCCCAGTGAAACTATGTGAAAGGGGAGTCCATTTCTAGCTAGTTGACTAAAAGATTTTCGTTTTAGAAAGATGTCTGATAATTTTGACTGAGACGAGGCATTTGGAGACTACAAATAGCTGATTTTTTTAAATCAGCAAATCAAGGGTGGTTCCGGAAGGGTTCTCTGGCTTTTTCAGGAAACGTGTTTCTGAGCAGAGTCTATTCCCGACCATGTTTGTAGTTCTTACGATGCTGGACTACTGGTGCACCTTGTGAGCGCCTGCTCTGGCATTTCTTCACTGAAGGGACATTCCTGAGGGACTGTTGTGGGCCCTGTGTGCAGCCCAGGATGGGCATGTAGTAGACAGGAGCACAGTCTCTGCCCTCAGGGCACTCCCAGCCTCCTCAGGACAAGTCAGGCACTTCAGCACGATAAGTCAGGTGTCTGTCTTTCATGTACTTGTGTTGTGAACATGCATTCCCATAAAACCATCAGTGATTGGAATGATGATCCTGAAGCAGGGATTTTTCAAGCTGTATTCTTTTAGCCGCTGATGTTACTTTCTTTTCCAAGGACATGTGCAGAAACCCAATGCAGTCATGTGCCACATAACATGCGTTCAGGCAATGTCTGACTGCATATATGTCTGTGGTCCTATAAGGTTTTGATAGAGTTCAGAAATCCTGACTGGAGAACGGGGCGTAGCGGACGTAACCGACATAGGGAACGAACAGCTTCCAACACGCAACGGATACATCTCACGTCCCTTGTACACAAAGTGATTGAGCTGCCGGGAGTATAATGGTGCAGTACATACATAACCTATAACACATACATCTTTGTAGTCATAATAAACACCTATGTTAATGGCTTGTATGTGTACTGTACTTTCTTTCATTATTTTAATGTAAACTTTCCCCACTTACAAGTAAAAAGTTTACCATGTAACAGTGTATGCTTCAACTCATAGGCAGCGACGTCCAATCTCATGTATTGCGAGTCTTTTGAATGTTGTAGTGTTATCTCTGTTTAATTTTCTTTTGAAAATATTACGGTGAAATGCATCATGGTTCCCAAACACAGCAAAACCAGTGCTGGTGATAGCAGCAGCGAGAGGCAAGAGAAGTATCGATTTGGAAGTGAAACAAAAGGTGTCCCATATAGCTTTGATAAGTATATAATACGGTGTTCGCACAGCATCCAAATCACATAGTGTCCTATTTCACAGAACATATGGTGGTAGTTAAGTGACGCATGACTGTATAAAGGAAATAGTTCGGACCCAGTTTGGAGCTAGAGTGAAAGAAGGGGCTTGGAAACTACCCACTCCCTGCCCCACCTCAGAGCCATGCTTCCAAAGAAAACGCTTTTCATTACCTGTCACTTACTGAAAGTAAGGGAATACATGGTTGGATTAAAATAAAAGTTTTTTTTTTCCTGACTGGCTCTATCATCACTGTTCCATAGCTATGTAATTTTTACTCTCAATCTAGGGAAGCAGATTCAGGCTGAGAGAATATATACATATATACTCTTTAGAAGTATTTCGATTTTTTTACTATGAAAAATTTCAGATATACAGAAAAATAAATAGAATAATGAACTCCTACACCCCAGATTTAACAGTTGTCATTACTGTGTCATATTTGCTTCAGATATTTCTTTAAACCTCTAATGGATGAGACTTTTTTTAAAAAAAAACATATCCACAATAACATATTTTGACCCTGCTCTTCACCCCATCCCCCATCGGGTTTATCTTGGGACCAGAATGTAATTTGAATTTCAGTTGTGAAACCTGCATGCTGGATTCAAATTTGATCTAGCATGCAGGCGTTCACGTATCTATTTAGTTTGCCCTTCATTCAGCGACAACTTTGGGGTACCTCCTGTGTGCCAGGACCTTAACATACAGTGGTATGCAAAGTGAAACAGAGCAAACATAGCTCCTGCCCTGGATCTTGTTAAAAATGGAAGTTTTAAAGTTGCTTGTCTTGAAAACAAGTGTTATGCCGAACCTGCGGGAGGGGTCGCTGGCAAAGAAAAGAAGATGGTACAAGGAAGAATTTGGAGGCTTTGGGGAGCAAGTCTCTTCACAGTATGCTGGTCTGATTCTTGAGTTGCTGGGGATGTTTGTTCCTGATGTCCCTGCAGACTTGGCAACCTGGAACTGCCAGGAGCTCGTTCAGGCTGTGTTGTGTGTGTGGCTCAGAAACTACAGCATTGCCGTGGGGACAGCCTGGTGGGGACAGCTACAGGGTGAGCAAGGCTGTTTGGCTGGTTATCACTATCTGCCTTACAGGGGACAGGTGAAGCTGGTGACCGAAGTTGAGCTTTTTGCACCCTTAAAACTTGTTTTCTAATAGTATTACTCTGCTATTTTTATAAAACAGCCCATAAAAGGACCTAGGAATCTTATATAAGAAAAACAGTCTCTTGGGAGCACCAAGCGTTACCTGACACCTTCCTCCCTTTCTCAGTTCCTACCCCACAGGCCCTCCCATTCTGGGTTTTATAAGCTGTCTCTTCATTTATCTATCTTAAGGAAGACAGAGTTGTTTGTACTTTTGGTGGAAGTGCTTTCTATCAAAACTCCATTACAAATAGAGACATTTGTGTGGACTGTCCCCTGTCATTCATCCATTTCTATGTTAACCACTCATTTTTGAAGTTAAAGGAGAGCACCAGGAAGAAATGATTTGACAGAGCATGTGTTTTTGCCCTTACTTGTCTTTGATCAACTGCAGACCTTATAGGGTAGTTAATCAGTATCTATTTTTAAAGATTCTGCAGCAAATGTGTTTTCAGGACAGAAAGTAAATTTTGGGAGCATTTGATTTAGGCTTGGAAATACAAAGCAGATGGTTTCTCACTGACTAAATTAATATTTGATAACGTTTTTAATGAATCTTATTAAGTAGACAATGGCCTGAGTCACATAATGGAGTAAATGGAATATAACGAGTCTAAAGGAGCCACCAGGCCCAGTTATATGTAGAGACACAAGTTTTGATTTCATATAAAGATCATGCCAAAGTGGGCAAAGACTCCTCTTGAGTTTTGTGATTGCTTTCAAAATGAGTTACATTCACGTGTGGCTAATTGCCTCCATGAACAACTGCCTCCTTTGCCATGAGACCAGAAGAACTGGATGGTGCCCGGCTACCATTACTGAATGTTTTGATCAGAGATTCTATAGATGAGTCCGGATCAAAAGGGGGAAAATTTTCCAACAGAATTTAAAATTCTCATGGAATCCAGACTTTCTGGATTCATGGAGGCTTGATGAACCCCTGGAAACTATTGCCCTGAAATAATTTTTAAACTTTAAACCAAAAATGTCCCCTGAAGTCTTCTTGAAACCAAACGATAGTTTAGTTTAACTAGTAAAGAATGTCTACCTTCAGCATTGTGCTCTTTTAAGAACTATCTATATGGGATCAAAGTGACAACAGCAACTTGAAAGATTAATAGACACCTTAGGGGGCAGTGAGTTTATGTTAATGGGGGAGGAACAACTCAGAAAAGGAGGGTGAGGATGGCTGCACAACTTGAAGAACGTAATCAGTGTCACAGAATTGTACATGTAGAAATGGTTGAATTGGTGTATGTTCTGCTGTGAATATTCTCAAAGACAACAATAATATTTAAAAAAATTTTTTTAAATAAGCTATTATACATTCATGAATTAGCTTCATGGGCCCCAAAATATGCTGGCAACAATGCAATATTCAATTTCTTACGATGTAGTGGACCTATTAGTTACATGTGGGGGATGGAGGAACAGAATGCTTGAAGTTGAGTTTCTCATCATTGAACATGCCCTGGGAAAGATGGGGGTGACATTTCAATAACATCTCTTTTCCCAGAATAAATTACTTCTCTCACTTTATGAATTGGTGAAATTTTTGTGCTTTGATTGCTTTTCAAATCTGAGGCGCAAGACTGATGCATACGTTTGGGGAAATGTTTACAATGACCTTTACATGCCTTTCCCCCCCTTTTTTGGCAGGAAATAACTACATGTTTGCCAGATTACTACAGATGGACTCAGTACCTCTTTATTAAACTCTATGAAGCTGGACTAGCCTATCAAAAGGAGGTAAGTTAAAATTAGCTGCACTTTAAAAATTTTGTTAATCTTCTCTATCTTCTTAGAACACACCATTGTTAGTAAGACTCAAACCCTGTTTGCACAGTAGCAGTGAAAAGGAACACTAGTTCATTCAAGTTCCTAAAATTAATCACAGTAGATCCAGAAAGCAACTATATGTTGCACTTCTTCTCTGGTCACTTTTTTTTCATGGATGTTTTCTTAGTTTCCAAGGTCCCTGGGTGGCGCAAATGATTTGCTCTCAGCTACTAAGTTTGGCAGTTCAAATCCTCCCAGCTGCACTGAGGAAGAAAGGCCTGGTGATCTGCTTCCATAAAGATTATAGCCAAGAAAACCCTATGGAGCATTTCTACTCTGTAACACATGGGTCACCAGGAGTTGGAATTGACTCGATGGCTACATGCTTGGTTTTTTGGTCTGTCTTAGTTCCCTAGTGCTTTGTAATACAAATACCACAAGTGGATGTCTTTAAAGAGCAGAAATTTATTTTCTCATAGTTTCGGGGGCTAGAAGTCCAAATCAGGGTTTTAGCCTTGTCTCTTCCTTCCTTGTCAGTAGCCTTGGGCCTTCCTAGGTTCTTGGTGATCCTCACGTGGCATCTGTCTTCCCCAGTCTGTGTCTAATCTGCTCTGTCTATAACTCAGTAGTGATTAGGACATACTCTACATTGATATGGCCTCATTAACATAACAAAGAAAAGCTTATTTTCAGATAAGAATACGTGTATCCACAAGCATAGGGATTAGGATCCTAACACATATTTTGGGAGGGATACGGTTTAATCCCTAACAGGTGTCTTGGTGGTTTTTGAGTAGACAGCACACTGGCTTTTAGAAGCTCTCAGCCTGCTGACCTGGGGCGCTGCCATGTAGTTGTGCCCTTGTCAGTTCCCCTCCGCTGCAGCACTTTCCAGTTGGGGTTGTCATTATTGGTTTATGCATCTGCTGCCTGGCTCTTCTGGTGCCTCCAAAACAGGGCACAGACTTCTTTCATGCTTGAATTCCCAGCACATAGCAGCATCTGGTGCATGTATACGTCCCGGGATCAAAGGTGGAGCAGAGGAGGAATGCAGGCTCCTCACAGCCCAGCTCTGTTTCCTCTGCCAGGAAGTGTGGCTTCTCATCTGCCAAACGGGGTGGTAACATCTTCGTTGGAGGGTTCTTGGAAGATTAGAGGTCATATTTAAAGAATATCTATCATAGTGTCTATACATGGTGGTCCCCCTAGAAATGCAGGTGCTTTTATGGTAGGAGCTCAGTAATAGTAGTTACGGCTTGGATGACGTGAGAGAAGGGAAAAGGTGTCATAGTGTGGCTTAGAACTGTACTGTCCAGTGTGATAGCCACTAGCCATATGTGACTGCTGAAATTTAAAGTAATGAAAATTAAATAACATTAAAAGTCAGTTCCTAAGCCACACTAGCCACATTTCAGGTGCTCAATAGCCCTGTGTGGCATGTAGCTAGTTTTGGACAGCACAGGTGTAGAACATTTCAATCATAATAGAAAGTTCTATTCCCACTGGTTTAGAAAGTTGAGAAGTAACAAATGGAACAATGTTGGTTGTTTAAAATATTTGTTGTTAAGTTTATTTTGGGGCTGGGGGAGTGGTGAGTGTCCATTAACATTTAGGGTAAATTAAGAGTAGGAGCTTTGTGGGACTGAGTCATCCGAATATTCAACCATTGCAGACTCTCCTGGGTCAGTTTAATTTCTTAACACACCATATGCCCAGAGGTAAGGAATTGAGAATAGCGAGAGACAGAAGCATACCTAGTCAACATTCCTGACTGCAGTAGACCGTTTTGTGTTTAATTTTCAAAAGCTTACAAACATGACTCCCTTATCAACTTAAAATAAATATGTATCAAAAATTTTATTCAACTCATTAATTAATGAGGGAACCAGTAAGATTTTAAGACTTATTCAAATAAGAATTCAAAGAACAGAGGTTTATAGAGTCACAGAAATGCAGACATGAATTTGCTAATACAGTCAAGACTGCTTAATGTCCAGCAAGGCAATGAACTTAACCTTTGGGGCTGACTTTTCTATGAGAAGGAAATCATTTGCATTGTCATTGATGGGAGCCATTTGCATTAGTCTCAGACAAAAATAACTTGTTTGCTATCTCTCAGTTTTCTACAAGTTAACCTCTCTCTGTACAGAGTTGTAAAATAACATAAGCAATGGTAAATAGGAAGTCAAACAAAAATACACATCCCTAGAAAATCAGATAACCCTCAGGGGATGTGAGCCTGCTAGACAATCCCAGCCTGCAGGAAAAGGACATTCAGCAATCCCTTGTGCCTCTTTCTAAGGTTCGGGTAATTTTTCTTAGCATCATTTATTCAGTATGGAGAAGCAGAAGAGTAGGAGGAGAATTTGTGGGAAAATCAGATCAGGGATTCACGCTCCAAGTAGCAGATTTGGTGCTGATTTAGCAGCCTGAGAGATAAATTCTCAGAACTTTGCTTGCTCTGTTGATGTTGTTAGTTGCTGTCAGCCCGCAAACTCGTGATAACCCCATGCACAGTGGAACAAAACCCTGCCCAGTCATGCGCCATCACCACGATTGGTTGCAGATCAGGCTGTTGTGATCCATAGGGTTTTCTATTGGTTCTGTGTTGCTATGATGCTGAACCTGTTTCAGCAGAGCTTCTAGACTAAGATGGACTAAAAAGAAAGGCTTGGTGATCTACTTCCAAAAATCAGCCAGTGCAAACATTCCCTTGCTCTTGGTGGACAGCAATTATATCCAAAAGGGGTTTCCACACTGGAATCACTGATGGGCCCAGGCAGGGGGAAGAAGATGTAATAAGCTACATTATGTATCCCAAGTGCCAGCAAGAAGGATAAACACAAGTCAGTAAGACATGAAAAACCCACAGCAAAACAGATACAGGTAACCCGGCATCACAGGAACCTGTTGCCTGTCGAGTCAGTTCCGACTCATAGCGACCCTATAGGACAGAGTAGAACTGCCCCACAGGGTTTCCAAGGAGCGCCTGGTGGATTTGAACTGCCAGCGTTTTGGTTAGCAGCCAGGCTCTTAACCACTGTGCCACCAGGGCACCACAGGAAAGAGTACACAATTCTTGGACAGTGTGAGCAGCTGTATATGTCATCGGTCAGATTGTCCGGGGTTACCGACCCTGAGTTGCATGGTAACTGTTGTTTTACATGCAGGGAATGTGAAGTGATGTGGCATGTTAATGGACTAGTGCAAACATTTCTCACACAAAGCCTGTATGTGTGCTGTGGAGTGTTCTTTTATAGGGCACTTGCTTCTCTCTGTCTCCACACTCGGGGTTTGTCCATGTTGCTTCAGGTCTACAACACGTCAAACCCAAGTGGGAAACTTAACCTCACCACTGTTGAATTGGATCTGGTCCAATCACACTCAGCATCTTAAGAGTGGAGTGACTTCCCTAAGGATGTCAGCGCTCCAGGAAAGGATCCCATTGCACATGTGCAGCCATCCTGCTGGCTCCAGCCCTTCTCCTCTTCCCCTCAGTTGTTTTCCAAATTAGTTTGACACTCCACACCCCCCATGTGCATCTCCTTGGGGAATATAGTCCAGTTTTCCTCCTGACCGTTTCTCTCAAGGGAACAACCCTGTATTCGCTTCCTATTGCTGTTGCTGTAACAAATTACCATAAACAATGCAAACTTAATTATCTTACAGTTCTGGAAGTCAGAAGTCCAAAATGGGTCTCACTGGGCTGAAATAAAATCAAGGATCATCAGGGCTGCATTCCTTCTGGAATTCTAGGCGAGAATCCGTTTCCTTGTCTTTTCCAGCTTCTAAAGGGCACCCTCATCCTTCACTTTTGGCCCCTTCCATCTTCAAAGAACCAGTGTAGCATCTTCATGTCGCTCTGATCTGTGCTTCTGTCATCACATGTTCTTCTGACTTTCCTGCCTCCGTCTTTCACTTATAAAGACCCTTGTGATTACACTGGGTGGACCTGGATGATCCAGGATAACGTCCCCATCTCAGAATCGTTAATTTAATCGTATCTACAAAGTCCCCTTTGCCATATAAGGTGACATATTCATCGGTTCTGGCAAATAGGATGTGGACGTCTTAGGGGGTGGGGGTTAACCTGCGTACCACAAGCCCTCGCTCCCTATCTCCTAGGGTCATTATGAGAATTTAACAAGTGAATATGTGTGAAGAGCCTGACATGGAGTACCTGGCACAGAGCAGGCGCTCGATAAATGCCCACCCGAATGCACCTACAGAGTTAACTTGCAGCCAGTATGGTGTTGACATTGGAAAAATGGAAAGTAAAAATAAAATATAAGGTTTCCTGGCTAATTCAGAGGCAACCTATCCACGAACAGGCATGAGGGAAGAATCATTTAGATTATTTTATGGATTTTAATTTAAAAAGATAATATTTTTACTGCTAGTTCTTGAGTTTAATATTTTTGGTATAATGATCTTTTTTTAAAATCACCAGTAAAATGCGTAAATAGAATGCAGAAATGCACATTAGTACACTGAGGATCGGAGTGAGCCCTAATCCGTAAAGTGTAGCAATGACAGTTAGCATTCTCCTCTGGTTTCTTTCAGAAGATAAACTCTTGAAATTAAAAACCTTGGCATCAACCTAAGAAACAGTGCACATACTACTTTGTAAAGCACATTTAAAACCAAGCAAAACCCCCTGCTGTTGAGGCGATTCCGACTCATAGTGACCCTATAGGACACCGTAGAACTGCCCCGTAGAGTTTCCAAGGCTGTAATCTTTGCAGAAGGAGACTGCCACATCTTTCTCCACAGAGCGGCTAGTGGGTTCGAACCACCCACCTTTTGGTTAGCAGCTGAGCGCTTAACTACTGTGCCACCAGGGCTCCTCTAAAGCATATTTAAAACCCTCTGCCATCGAGTCGATTCCAACTCATAGCGATCCCGTAGGATCTCCAAGGCTGTAAATCTCTACGGAAGCAAACTGCCATACTTTTTCCTCGGAGGCGCTGGTGGTTTTGAACCGCCAGCCTTTCAGTTAGCAGTCAATCGCTTTAACCACTGTTCCACCAGGGCTCCTTAAAGCATATTTAGGCAAATCCCCCCCGCCCCCGCATTTGGGTATTATTACTTTTCCTCTAACAGCATTGTCATAACTTTTTATTTTTTTATTTTTAATAAAAACAGCCTTAACCCTTAAATTCGGTTCTGCCGTAAGGTATGTCAGTGGCCATTTAGGGACAGTGTTTGAATAGAGTATTGGTACACACGGCTGGAAGGTTTCATTCTTTTGTTCTTCACAAGCACTGACCACCAGAATGTCCAGTTCAGAGTTAGTGCTCTCGTGAAAAAAAAATATGTTCAGCTATAAATATGAATATAAAGACCTCTGTTTGGCAGAACATTAATTTCACCTCTCTGGTTTAAAAAAAAAAAAAAAAAAGTTTCGTTCCATGGTTGTAGTTATTAGAGAGAAGAATGGTGCTGTATTATGCTTGACATCCTAGGGACCTGTGGAGAGTCACCTAATGTCTGCATTTGCCTTTCGCTCTCTCCGCCATGTCAGTGGCGGTTGGTGATAGGGCTAATTCACACTCATAAGCAAGGTTTGCATTGTGCCCCCGTCTCCATAAAGCACACTGACGAACGGGCACTCCCACTCTGCTACCTCGTGGCTTCCGAATGTGGCCGCAGTAACAAAATAAGCGGTAGCCTTGGGAACCGCTCCTGGATTCGGTCCAGATTCAGGCCCATTCCAGATAGAAGGGAGTGAGATCAATTTTGAGACTTAGATCCTTTAATAAGATCTATGTGGTGTTCCTTAATTAAGCATGCTTTTCTCAAGAAGAAGCCAGTAGACCTTGAGAAAATCAATATCCTGAAACTTAGGCTTTGCCAGCTTTCTGGAACCTGAAGCTGCCTGACAGTGTACTCAGAAGAGGCCTTTGGTAGTAAAAAAAAAAAAAAAAAAAGCAGATCTTGAGGAGAACAAAGTGAGGAAAACGATGGAGCGATGCAGTAGGCCAGAAAATCCATAAAGGCCCTATGCGAGTAAGGGTGACTCTGTTGGAGCCATGGAGGCTGATCAGACACAGTTCCTGCCATCCAGTAACTCAGGGCCCGCAGGTGATTTTTCTTTTGTTGTGGAGGGCCGAGAATCAGGTATCAGACCAAGATGCCATGGCCCAGTTCGTTTGGGCCACTGGCTTTCAAAGTATGGTTCTGGAACAACAGCATCAATATCACCTGGGACCTCGTTAGAAATGCAAATTCTCAGCCCCACCCCCCCTAAAAAAAAAGAGGCCAGAAGACAAAAGCACACAGATGGAAGATGTGATCTAGAAAGGACTGGCACCCTGTGTGAAGGAGTAAGGCCCAGTGAGGCAGTGGGTCACCAGGGAGGGAAGGGAAGAGGACACAGTGGGATGAGAGACGGTGAGGGTTTGGGACGGGAGGCCTAGACACGTTGCCTGGGGCAGCAGACACTGCAGTAGCCTGTGTTGCAGAGAGAGCCGACCAGAGTGAAGTCAGGGTGGTGGTGTCCAGGTAATCCCCAGGGGACAGAGGCGTAGGGAGGGTAGCGAACTGGGGGTGGGGGGGTGTGATTCTCCAGCTGGCCTCCGCTGGCACCCCCTTGGACTTGCACCGTGGGGGACAAATGCCCCGCTCGGCCCCCCTCCCCCCACGCCTCTGTCCGGGGAGCACATGGTTGCCCATACCTCCAAGAGCTTGAAGGCAAAGAAGGGGAAGGGGAGGAGGCAAAAATGATGGGCGCCCACCTTGACTGTATAGAATCAATCCCTTGTGATCATGACTTCGTCACAGTTGTAATTATATTATGGGGTGCATTTTAGAAAGCTTTCCACAAATCATTCACACAAAAATATGAAACTGCGTGTTTAACCTTTGATCAACCGGGGAAATTCTCTTATTCGGAATGGCTTGTTCTATGATGTTGCTAGGTAACTGTTGTGAGGGACGCAATGGGGAAGTCTGCTCTGAGTTCACCGTGTTTACAGACATGTTAATGATTTCAGTATGATTTAAGGTTGATTTCAAAATGCAGATATTACATTACAAATAAGGCTAGTTAACTACAAAGGTGTGTGCAGTTGACTTCAGTAGGCAATAGAAAACCTTATTGCCAACCAAGGAAACGAATATAGTCAGTGATGTTGTCCAGAAACCATATCTAATGCAGCAAGACTGTGCTTGCTTGAAAATCAAAGCATCCATCAAAGTAAACGTTCAAAATGTGAAAATCCAGAATGCTGCATAAAGGAAGACCCCTGGCTGGCTTCAAGGGACACAAGATGATAGAGACAGTGGTCTAAGAGAAGAGATCTGAGAAGGGGTTTGTCCAGGGCTTCCAGAAGCTGCCCGTGCTACATCCCCCTGGGCCCAGGGGGCCTGGGTTTGACCACACCTGGTGTAACCACCAGTGGAAAGTCCGAGCCGCGGGGACCTGTGGGACTGAGAAGAAACGAGAATGTGGGTTCTCACAGCTAATGTATCTTTGATTTGAGATGCTATTTCCTTTGGTGTTTTTCCTCTTCCCCCAACTCTTTCATTAGGGGAAAAAAATAGCTTTTGTGATTTGCTTTTATTCATCTTTCATTTGACACCTGGGTTTTATTATAACGTGTAAACCTCTTAGAAGCACATCTTCCTCATTGCATTTTGTAACCTAGAGCCTGAGAGCTACCAGGCTGTGTGGGAAATGATGATAAGAAAATAAAGGCCCGTTTGTTTTTGCAGTCTCCAGTACCAAGTGTTTTTCTCTGAGGTTTGAGAGGCAGGAGGCAGAGGTGGAGGTATACATGGCTTTTTTTTTCCCTCCTTTTATATTTTATACAGTTTATGTTATTTGGTTTTTTTTGAAGGGCATATGCCTCTTGAATGAACCGTCTAAGTCACTAAACAGTATTTATCCATTTCTTTTTACCTTTTATGTTGAGTGGTACTCCTTCCCCCACCCCTAACACAGGCAGTGCTAATAGGTAAGTAAATCACTTTTGGTTTATTAACCTAAAGTTTTTAGGTCTAAGGTACTTTTAGGTCTAAATGATTATATTAAGGGAACTCACCCAATTGCATCATTGTGTTTCATGAATTACACAGGCATTGGTTAACTGGGACCCAGTAGATCAAACGGTGCTAGCCAACGAGCAGGTGGATGAACATGGCTGTTCATGGCGTTCTGGAGCGAAGGTGGAACAGAAGTACCTCAGACAGTGGTTTATTAAGACTACTGCGTATGCAAAGGTGAGTGTTAGCCTGAAAGCTCTCCGATAATGCCTCAGTGTGTGAGGTAACACAATGTTGTCTGGTGTTGGAGATCCTCCCTGTTGGGGTAAACTCCAGGAAGAGCTTTCAGAGCCATGGGTGTGCAGACAGGAAGCAGATGAGTTGTAAGTCAAGAATGGCACCTGGAGGTCATTGTAGGCTGTTGTGTGCTGAACTCTCAACTCACTGAATCATTGCACTTCCACAGAGGCCAAAAAATGTTCAGCTTTATCCATAATTATGTTAGCAATGAAGCTAAAAAAAGAAAAACAGTATCTTCATCTGTGTAGTTCTCATAAGACCTCAAGAAAGATAGAATAAAATTCCAGAGGGTTCAGAGAAGACCATCTAAAAAGAGTAAAGAGATGGCCAGTCTTCATGAGGGAAGACCAGAGTGAAAATGGAAGAGGCTGCATAGGCCCAGCTCACTATTATTTACCCCCCATTGCTAACCACCCATTGTCTCGTGATTTTTCCCTCTGGTTCCAATCTCTACAAAAAGGTTTAAGATTAACCCATGTTCCTCCCTGGAGGGTGGAAAACAAGTGAGAATGATCTAAGAATGAAAAACCAAACAACGCACCCACCTTGTCACAAGAAAAAGCAGATAATCCCCAAGGATGTCACCAGATAACCTCTAAGAATACCAGTAGAAGGTTAATTCATCTAAGACATCATCATCTCAAGGGGAAACTACCACAAAAGATCCATAATCCTGTCCCTATAAAAGACTTCAGCCGATCTCCAATGGGGGAGACGGGTTTTTTGGAGGAATCTATTCCCCTCCATCTCCTATATATCGATACATAATAAACATCTTGCTGCTCACCTCACCCCTGTCTCAGAATTGGCTATTGCAGCAGGCAGCTCCAGTCCGCGTTATTGAGGTAACAAAAATGAATTAAATCAGGAACAAAACCTCTGGATTTTACTCTTGTAGAGGCCCTGACTAACAGTGTAAACTGGTGCAAGTCTCTGGGCCTCAGTTTCCTCATCCATAAAGTGAGGTGCCTTCTGGCTTTTTATATGTTCAGGGGTTCAGTGCAAAGCCAGCAGTGGAAAGAGGGGACTTACGTATTAAAATCTCCAGTGGCTGGGCAAAATAACCAGTTCTCTTTATGCTGGATCCACTCTGTACAAAGTCTTGTTTGAGCTTACCAAGTTGCAGGATACTGAAATTTAGGGGTTACCCCTTGAAACCCCAGAGAGGATGATTAGAGCAAATTAGGGACACTTCACGTGCCAATTTGATGATCTCTGTATCTCATTAGCATAAGACTAGACACACACAGGGTCCAAAAAGGTGAAGGCATCATGGTGTACTCAGGGCATGTCTTGGTAGCTCTTCCCCTACAGTACCAACTATAAGAGTTGTGCCCTTCCATATAGCCCATGGGTTGCTTTGTCAGAGATGGAGTACTAGACTGAAGTGGTCTTTGGGTCAGACCTAATACTGCAGTTCTTATATGCAAAGAAAGCACAAAGTCATAAATAACCTTTGATTACTACAAAACTTTGCTGAATTAGAATGCTGTTTTAACAGCAGTAGACCAACTTACAATACCAATGCCATATGGAAATATGACGTCCAGTTTTCTCACTCAAGAGACATAGCTTAAACCAGGCTGTTTTCCCTTTACAATTTATTCAGAATGCAGCAGAGAATAGCATATGGATTTGAAAAAGTACTTGTTAGAACTTGTTAACACAGGGCTCCCTTTAAACCCCCAGTAATATTGGGAGACTAGATGAGAAGAACAAAGCTGAGGGTGTTGCTTTCTGTAACCATCCCAGGCAGAGGGAGCCTATATTTACTGAGTGTTGCAGCCACTGCATTCAGGTCACCCTAAGGACCTGTCAGATGACTCTCTAATAGCCATTGTTGGAAAGATCTCCTAATTAGCTCCTTTGTTTTGACCTCTGCCTCTAGTTAGAAATGTAATAGCCTAACTGAAGGGCATTATTCTTTCAACTGTCAGCTGTGCGTTTTCAACTGCTCAGCAGATATTGTTAGTTACCATGGTGACTCGCCTGGTTCTTGCTGAACTCCTGTGCAGATTTATTAAAAAAGCTGTCTTTGGAGGTCAGCTCTTGGTTTGCCCTGAAAATCAGGAGAAGAAGGAGTGGCGTAGGAGTGGTAGGGGTGGCCAGAAATCTGTTTTCACTTCAGGTCCTTGGGTGAGAGCTGGGCTGTTCATGTACAAAGCAAGATTCCCTGAATCCTAATAGACAATGATTGCTGCAGGACTGAGAGCAAAACAGAGATACGAGAGGGATGAGGGAGAGGAAGGACAGTGCTGGAGACTTCGGAATTGCAGCCCCGCTAAGGGTATTCAGCTGAGATCCAAAAAGGCCGTGCATTAAGAGTAAGGATGACACCTTAGGGCTGAGGACAAAATCAAAATAACTCACCCTAATAAAAAATAAAGCCAAACCTGACAGTTGCAAAAGGAGCTGCTAGAACAAAGTTCACCACCTTTGTTTATTTATTTATTTTTACTGTACTTTAGATGAAGGTTTACAGAACAAACGAGCTTCTCATTAAACAGTACACATATTGTTTCATGACATTGGTTAACAACCGCATGATATGTCAACACTCTCCCTTCTCAACCTTGGGTTCCCTATTACCAGCTTTCCTGTACCCTCCTGCCTTCTAGTCCTTGCCCCTGGGCTGGTGTGGCCCTTTGGTCTTATTTTGTTTTATGGGCCTGTCTAATCTTTGGATGAAGGGAAAATTCATCACCTTTAAAGGGAGACCAAGTAATCCAGACTCCCTACAAAGTTTCATCTTCAGTGCCCAGCATACAATAAAAAAAATTACTAGACTTGCAAAGAAGCCGAAGAATGTGACCCATATTCAAGGGGGGGAATAAAGCAGCCCAATAGAAATAGAACTGATATGACCCAGATCTTGGGATTAGCAGATAAGGCCTTTAAAGCATCTATTACATAAATATTTGGGACTTTAAAAAAAAAAGAGGCCATAATGAGTGAACAGATAGGGACTCTTAGGAGAGTAATGTAAACTATAAAAAAATAACCAAATGGAAATCTAGAACAAAACAGAAAACTACGGTATCCGAAATGAAAAATTCATTGTTTGGGCAGCACACAGGGATGAGTAAGGGTTAAGTAGGCCATAAAGCTGGAGGGAAGCCTCCCTCATAGAGAGAACAGCATGTGTGGTGGCCCTAAAACAGAATGTATATCATGGATTTGAGAAACTGAAAGAATGACACTGTAGCTGGAACTGAGAGAGCCAAGAGGAGAGTCTCAAGATAGGACTGGAAAGACTAGAGAGGTGATTAGGTGCTAGATCAGGCAAGACCTTTTAGGTCTTAAGGAATTTGGACCTTATCATGGGGGCCATGGGAAACCATTAGGATTGTAAGGAAGGGAATGACATGGTAAGATTTGTATTTTTATAAGATCACCATGGAAAGGGCAAGTGTGGTTGCAAAGAGACTGGTTAAGAGGCTATTGCAATGGTCCAGGCATAATAACATAACATAACTTAGACTTAGGTGGGAGTAGCAGATAGCAGAGATAAGTGGTAGGTTAGAAAAATATTCAGGTAACAAAATCTGTAGAGTTTTGGTGACATATTAGATGAGAGGGTTTAGGAGATGGTGGCGTCAAGAAATACTCCGGCTTGAACAGTGCGTAGATAGTTAAGCCATTATCTTATCTTAACTTCCAGGGTGCCCTGGAAGAGACATAGCCCTGACCCTGTTGAGTTTGAGGTGACCATGAGACATTTGAATGGAGATGTGCAAATAATAGGTGCTTGGATAAATGGATCCAAAACTTTAAAGACAGCCAAATAAGATAGGACATCTGCTTAAAAACCTGGTATAATGGACATATTCTTGAAGTAATGAAGAGGCCCTGTTGTATAGATAAAGATCAGCTATTGAATCAGTTAGTAATGCTTTCAGCTGCAAGTAATTGAAAATCCAAGTTCTGGTGGCTTAAATGAATGGAAATTAACTTTTTCCATATAACACCTCCCATTTGCTGGGACTGAACAGTGATAGGGCTCTAAGTTGGCCTCTCAGTGATTCTCTTGGCCTTTCCCTCCTGCCTATTACCTCATGGTTGCAAGATGACTGCTGCAGCTTCAGACAGCACATCTCCATTCAAGGCAGAAGGAGGCAGAAGGGCAGTGCCAGTTACTGTTCCTTTTATCTGGAAAGCAAGAGCTTTCCTAGAAACCCCCAGAATTCCACTGATGTCCTGTTAGCCCCAGTTGTGTCATGTGGCCACCCCCAGGTTCAAGTGGACTAGGAAAGTAGGCTTGGTCTTTTTAGCTTCTGTAGTCGAGGTGGATAGGGAGAAGGACATGGGGAATGGATGCTGGGATGACTAGTAAGCTGTGCCAGCCACAGTTCTCTTCAGAGCTTTGTTTTAATATCTGCACCTGGTTTTGCAGCTCCCAGGGCTGCCTCTGTGATGGACAGCTGGTGGTCTGCTTGTGAACGTGTCTTTGTGGAGAAGCTCTCCTTTCATTCACTGAACTTCCAAGTTTTAAAGACAGATGCCTGATGTAAAAATTACAGGGAACCCTGAAATATGAAAATGCTTTATTAAGACTGTTCTGTGATGTACTTAATTTTACCCTCCCTTGCCCCACACCCAGTCTTGCTAGGATTGTTTGTTTTGCTAAATGTTAAAAGTGATTTCAGCCACTCTTTCTGTGAAAAAGAAAACTTGCCGTAGGAGTATCTGAAGACGTGAATTAGTCTTGGCAGAGATGTGTGGGTGGTATCTCGCGGGCAGCACTGCTGGGGTGAGAGCAAGGGGAGGAGGTGGATGTGAGAGTCACATAGACCAAGCAGAAGGGATGCAGAGCCTAATGGAACGCCTTGGTTCCTGACAGCAGGGTGACAATTGGAAGGAGAGACAAACAGAGAGATGGCCTCCCCTTGGAACATTTCTGATAGATCTGTGGTTTTGATTTCTGTGCTGCCTCCTGT